CGTGTGGACAACATGTGTGGAAATCATGTGTTAACTGCTTTGTAGTGAGCGCTCCGTGTGGAGGCCCCAGATTAAGGCTGTGAGGTTCACAACGTGTAAGTCAAATACTGGCACCAAAAATTAACATAAATCAGTATTTGGACGTATTGTCCACCCAGCTAAACTATAGGCTATGACTCGCAGCGTTCATCACTTGCGTAAACACTCCCTAAATCAACGTAACCAAAATATCTGACCTAACGAAGACCTAACTATACATAAACCCACAATATGTAACCACATTAATTTACATTTCAGATTTTTTTTTGTTATTATACTGTAAGATTCCTCCTGTTCATTTGTCCAAGTGAAAAACGACTACACTTAGTAAAAACGGTCATCATTTGACTTATAACTTAAGCTAGAGGATGGGTTGCTGCAGGCGACCTGTTCTTGGCGTCAGTTTGGGTGTTCTGGACTAGCCAGCCCAATACTAGCGACGGACTGCATCGTCAACACCAGGAGCCCAGCCCTCAGTACTAAACGCCAACTCAATTCAGTTCGACAGGACAAGCCCTAAAGTTCTTGCCAATCACCATTCAAAGCAATACCAAGATGTTGGTACTGTACTTGGCATCAGAGGAGGAGTCCGAAGTAATGACATGGAGAGGATCGCAGGACCCTGAACCCTTCACGAGGTAGAGGAACTACCACACCCAAGCCCGTAAGCAGCCACACTGACAACGTGATGTGGAAGATTCACAGTTAACATCCTTTATAAGGATGTTAACTTTTATAACATCACAGTTAACTAGGTGCGTAGTTAATAACATCCAGATAAGGGAGTTGAAGAGACGTCAGTACTCCCATTTTGAGTGACATTAAATATTGACCTCTACATTTTGTGTGGTAGGCTTCATAGACTACAGTCAGCATTGTTTGGCTGAAGTTATGTCTGCTCCTGTGGACAAAATTAATGTAAGCAGTGGACATTCAGCGGTATTTTTGGGAGATAACATTCTTGCCCCAGTTATTATAAATTATTTAAGCTTATCAGTGTGTATTTTGTTCACCTAGTGCATTGTAGCTCATTCTACAATGTGGCCAGTGAGCTTAAGACAATTACTTTCATTTAATTGATGCTGTGTGTTCCATTAGGCTTCTTAGTAATGTAATGAAACTTGGCCTTCATATTACTGTTCACCAGTATGTGTTCATTTATATGCTGGCGCCATTGGTTCTTATATTATACATTCAATACATTTAGTTATGGCAGACGCCTAATTAGACGTATTGGAGGTAATAACATCTTGAGTGATTGGAGGTTATCGACTCGTGTGGTATAACTGACCCTCCCTGCTACCCGTGTGCAGGCGATGAGTCACTGACCCTCCCTGCTACCCGTGTGCAGGCGATGAGTCACTGACCCTCCCTGCTACCCGTGTGCAGGCGATGAGTCACTGACCCTCCCTGCTACCCGTGTGCAGGCGATGAGTCACTGACCCTCCCTGCTACCCGTGTGCAGGCGATGAGTCACTGACCCTCCCTGCTACCCGTGTGCAGGCGATGAGTCACTGACCCTCCCTGCTACCCGTGTGCAGGCGATGAGTCACTGACCCTCCCTGCTACCCGTGTGCAGGCGAGGAGTCAAAATAACGTGGCTGAAGAATGTTGACCAAACCACACACTAGAAGGTGAAGGGACGACGGCGTTTCGGTCCCTCCTGGACCATTCTCAAGTTGATATTTCCTTAAATCACCCGTAATTTCCCCAAGGTGGGTCTTATGACTGTAATTACCTATCACACGACTTGGTAATGGTCCAGGACGGACCGAAATATCGTCGTTTCATCTTTAGAGGTTTGGTCATCGTTATCTATCAGTGCCTAGGGGGACGCGAGGTCCAGCTCTGCATACCCTGCCTATTCCCTTTCTTGTACTCGTTGGGTTAAAGTTTTACTATTCAAGCGATAAAAATATTTGTCGAACCTGTCATTAAAGCTGTGGGTGGAGGTGGCTTCCCTAACTTCTACTCTTAGTGCATTACACTTGTTGACCACTCGAACAAATAAGAAATACGAATATTTCCTTACATTTCTTAGACTCATTATGCGATTCCAGCTTCCACGTGTGTCCTCTTGTCTTACTGTCTCAAATTAAAGAAGCTGTCCTTGCCCCAAATTGTCTATTCCCCTCAGTATCTTATACGTTGTTATCATATCTCCTCTATTTCTTCTGTCTTCTAAGGTTGTGAGGTCCAGTTCCTTCAGACTATCCTCACAGCGTGACCCTCTGAGCTCCGCCACAAATATAGTTGTAAACCTCTTCTCTTATTCAATTTTAGTTTTATGTTTCACAAGGTATTGATTCCAAGCCGGTGCTGCATACTCCAGTACTGGTCTAACACAAGCTGTGTAGATCGTTTTCAACGCGTCCCGAGTTAGGATTCTAAACGACATTCTAGAATCAAGTTCTACACCAAGGTACCCAAAGTCGTTAATGGGGACACCAAGGTACCCCGGATCGTTAATGGGGACACCAAGGTACCCCCGGGTCGTTAATAGGGACACCAAGGTACCCCGGATCGTTATTGGGGACACCAAGGTACCCCCGGGTCGTTAATGGGGACACCAAGGTACCCCCGGGTCGTTAATGGGGACACCAAGGTACCCCCGGGTCGTTAATGGGGACACCAAGGTACCCCGGGTCGTTAATGGGGACACCAAGGTACCCCCGGGTCGTTAATGGGGGACACCAAGGTACCCCCGGGTCGTTAATGGGGGACACCAAGGTACCCCCGGGTCGTTAATGGGGGACACCAAGGTACCCCCGGGTCGTTAATGGGGGACACCAAGGTACCCCGGGTCGTTAATGGGGGACACCAAGGTACCCCCGGGTCGTTAATGGGGGACACCAAGGTACCCCCGGGTCGTTAATGGGGACACCAAGGTACCCCGGGTCGTTAATGGGGGACACCAAGGTACCCCGGGTCGTTAATGGGGGACACCAAGGTACCCCGGGTCGTTAATGGGGGACACCAAGGTATCCCGGGTCGTTAATGGGGGACACCAAGGTACCCCGGGTCGTTAATGGGGGACACCAAGGTACCCCGGGTCGTTAATGGGGGACACCAAGGTACCCCGGGTCGTTAATGGGGGACACCAAGGTACCCCGGGTCGTTAATGGGGGACACCAAAATACCCCGGGTCGTTAATGGGGGACACCAAGGTACCCCGGGTCGTGAATGGGGGACACCAAGGTACCCCGGGTCGTTAATGGGGGACACCAAGGTACCCCGGGTCGTTAATGGGGGACACCAAGGTACCCCGGGTCGTTAATGGGGGACACCAAGGTACCCCGGGTCGTTAATGGGGGACACCAAGGTACCCCGGGTCGTTAATGGGGGACACCAAGGTACCCCGGGTCGTTAATGGGGGACACCAAGGTACCCCGGGTCGTTAATGGGGGACACCAAGGTACCCCGGGTCGTTAATGGGGGACACCAAGGTACCCCGGGTCGTTAATGGGGGACACCAAGGTACCCCGGGTCGTTAATGGGGGACACCAAGGTACCCCGGGTCGTTAATGGGGACACCAAGGTACCCCAGGGTCGTTAATGGGGGACACCAAGGTACCCCGGGTCGTTAATGGTGGCACCAAGGTACCCCGGGTCGTTAATGGGGGACACCAAGGTACCCCGGGTCGTTAATGGGGACACCAAGGTACCCCGGGTCGTTAAGGGGGACACCAAGGTACCCCAAGGTCGTTAATGGGGGACACCAAGGTACCCTGGGTCGTTAATGGGGACACCAAGGTACCCCGGGTCGTTAATGGGGGACACCAAGGTACCCCAAGGTCGTTAATGGGGGACACCAAGGTACCCCGGGTCGTTAATGGGGGACACCAAGGTACCCCGGGTCGTTAATGGGGGACACCAAGGTACCCCGGGTCGTTAATGGGGGACACCAAGGTACCCTGGGTCGTTAATGGGGGACACCAAGTTACCCCGAGTCGTTAATGGGATTAAATGCATTGTCGTTAAATGCAAGGCATTAAATGTCGTTAAATGCGAGGTATCTATATGACTCGCAGTTCATACAAGTGCTCGCCCATCTATATGATAATTGGGTGGGGGAAGAATTCCACACGGAATGAGGGCACGAGTTTTCTGTACAGGGATAAGGAGGCCACATTCCTCAGCTCTAGTAGCAAAAGCGTCGAACAGAACCGACATTCTAGGCTCGGAGGCAGCCTGTAAACATATATCATCAGCTTAACAAATGACAGCGTCTTCATTATTAGTTCTAAGACCTTTAATAAGTTTATGCATCAGAAAGTTGAACAACAGGGGGCTGAGGACCCCTCCCTGTGGAGTTCCCAGTTCAAAGTGTTTGCTCTCTGTGTTTTTAACACCATTAAACAAAACATATACTGTTCACCTAGACAAATAGCCCTCTATCCATTTCAGTAATTTTTTTTGTATTCCCAGCTCAAAAAGTTGTTCTAGTATGATTTCTCTGTTTGCTGTATCAAAAGCTGCTGCTAGGTCGGTGAAGACTGCTTGAGGGGAAGCTTCAATATGAGCGAAATATTCAGCAAAACAGTGTTGTGTACTGAGCCCAGGCATAAATCCAACAGCCCGTCCTCCAAACAAAGACCCAAATGTGATTCCATGCACCCGCCAAACCCCAGCTGTTTATGAATGAAAAACGGTTTACACACGACTCACAACTGATGACGTCCGAACACTTCCGGAACAAGTGCTTCACTGACCAATTTTGTTCGAGCCACAACGCTGTAAATGCTTCACCCACGTACTACAAATACAAATAATCGCCAACAGAATCTAAAGACCTAACCTAACCTATGCCTATATATACACAATATGCTAATATAATATTAATTTATATTTGAGAAAAATCCTATTTTGAGTGAACAGTATGTTAAAATTGATGAATGTGTCTTTGGGGTCGACCTCTGGATAGAATGGACTTGGTCTGAGAACGGGTTGAAATCCAAACAGTTGGGGTGACAGGTGCCCCTGTATACGATACATGAGTAGGTTAA